CCCCCTTGGTTTTTCCCTGGGTAGCTAACACTCCCTACCCTGGGTTACCCTGGGTAGCTAACACTCCCTACCCTGGGTTACCCTGGGTAGCTAACACTCCCTACCCTGGGTTACCCTGGGTAGCTAACACTCCCCCTGCTTATAAACCCCCACAGAATATCTTGTGTCAATCATTCTCTCCCACCAGGTTATGGCAACATAGCACCGTCAACATTCTCTCCCACCAGGTTATGGCAACATAGCACCGTCAACAGTGGGAGGTCGAGTGTTCTGTATGGTGTTCGCTCTAGTGGGTATCCCTCTAACACTCTCTGTTATTGCTGATATTGGTGACGTTCTTGCTTCTCTCGTTCCTGTGGCCACTCTCAACACACTCCTTCCCAAGTACGTTATTTCCTCCTCACGGTGTCTGGTGGCTTGGTAGACAACGCTCTTTCTTCACACACTGAGGGGCTGTGGTTCGATCCCCGGCGAGGGTAAAAACATTGGGCGTGTTTCCTTGTACCTGTGTCCAGTTCACCTATTAAGTAGGTACCTGGGTGTTAGTTGGTGTGGGTCGCATCCTGGGGGACAAGATTGATGGACCACAGTGGAGATAAGACGGAGAGTCCCTGGATGACGCACTGACTTTCTTGGGTTATTCTGGGTGGCTAACCCTCCGTGGTTTAAAATCCAAACAAAATCTTATCTTACGCTCTTTCCTTCCCATGTACGTTCTTTCCTTCCCACGTACGTTCTTTCCTTCCCATGTACGTTCTTTCCTTCCCATGTACGTTCTTTCCTTCCCACGTACGTTCTTTCCTTCCAACGTACGCTCTTTTCAACTTTTAAGAACATAAGAACATAAGAATGTAGGAACACTGCAGAAGGCCTACTGGCCCATACGAGGCAGGTCCTTATCAAAACGACATCTACCTAAAGCTATCCAAGAAATATCTCCCGTACCCCTTGACACCAATCAAACCCAGCCCCTCCCACTCATATATTTGTCCAGTCTCTTCTTAAAGCTACCCAAGGTCCTAGCCTCTATCACCCCACTGGGAAGACTGTTCCACGCATCTACAACTCTGTTAGAAAACCAGTACTTACCTATGTCCTTTCTAAATCTAAATTTATCCAACTTAAATCCATTATTCCTGGTTCTTACCTGGTTCGACACCCTCAGTACTTTATTAATGTCTCCCTTGTTTATGCCCGTCATCCACTTATACACTTCAATGATATCTTCCCTCATTCTACGCCTCTCCAGAGAGTGGAGATTTAAGGCTTTAAGTCTATCTTCTACGGGAGGTTCCTTACACAGTAAATCATTTTAGTCATTCTTCTCTGTATGTTCTCTAATGAGTCTATGTCCATCCTGTAGTAAGGGGACCAAAACTGAGCAGCATAATCTAAATGAGGCCTCACTAGTGATGTATAGAGCTGTAAAATAACTTTTGGACTTCTGTTACTTATACTTCTTGAGATAAATCCAAGTAATCTGTTGGCCTTGTTGCGCACACTAAGGCACTGCTGTCTTGGCTTTAGATTTCTGCTTACCATGACTCCCAAGTCTTTCTCACATTCTGTATGACCAAGCTACGATAATATTTGTGTCCATTAGAGGCTGGCTGAGCACTGTGTTGATAGAGGTTGTAACTCACTCACTCTCTCTCTCTCTCTCTCTCTCTCTCTCTCTCTCTCTCTCTCTCTCTCTCTCTCTCTCTCTCTCTCTCTCATTCACAAATATACCTACTGGGATGAATCTTATTATAGCCAGCTGGCCCAGTGGTTAACGCACTGCCCAGTGAGTTTCACGATTCACCTGGAGTCTACCTGGAGGCTGCTTTGGGGGTCAACGCCCCGCGGCCCGGTCTGTGACCAGGGACTGATCAACTAGGCTGTTACTGCTGACCACACGTAAACCAACGTAAGAACCACAGCCCGGCTGGTCAGGTACTGACTTTAGGTAAGACACATATGCAACAGTTAGGTATCTTTATTTTGAAACGTTTCGCCTACACAGTAGGCTTCTTCAGTCAAGTACAGAAAAGTTGATAGAAGCAGAAGATACTTGAAGACGATGTAATCAGTCCATCACCCTTAAAGTTTTGAGGTGGTCAGTCCCTCAGTCTGGAGAAGAGCATTGTTCCGTTGTCTGAAACAATATGAAGTTGAAGTGACAGAATCGGGCCTTATATAGTCCCAGGAGGTGAGACGTAGGTTGATTTGGGAGGGCAGGTCCTTCTCAACCCCAGCCGTTCTCACTAGTAGAGGTTGTCGAAGTAGATGGTCTGTACCAAGATACCCCTTGTGTTGCAGTGTCTGACAGAATGAACATTAAAATGGTATAAAATAAACCGACAGATTGTTAGGTAAGACACATATGCAACAGTTAGGTATCTTTATTTTGAAACGTTTCGCCTACACAGTAGGCTTCTTCAGTCAAGTACAGAAAAGTTGATGAAGCAGAAGATACTTGAAGACGATGTAATCAGTCCATCACCCTTTAAAATTTTGAGGTGGTCAGTCCCTCAGTCTGGAGAAGAGCATTGTTCCGTTGTCTGAAAACAATATGAAAATTGAAGTGACAGAAACGGGCCTTATATAGTCCCAGGAGGTGGACGTAGGTTGATTTGGGAGGGCAGGTCCTTCTCAACCCCAGCCGTTCTCACTAGTAGAGGTTGTCGAAGTAGAGGTCTGTACCAAGTTTCCCTTGTGTTGCAGTGTCTGACAGAATGAACATTAAAATGGTATAAAATACCGACAGATTGTCAGACACTGCAACACAAGGGTATCTTGGTACAGACCATCTACTTCGACAACCTCTACTAGTGAGAACGGCTGGGGTTGAGAAGGACCTGCCCTCCCAAATCAACCTACGTCTCACCTCCTGGGACTATATAAGGCCCGATTTTTGTCACTTCAACTTCATATTGTTCAGACAACGGAACAATGCTCTTCTCCAGACTGAGGGACTGACCACCTCAAAACTTTAAGGGTGATGGACTGATTACATCGTCTTCAAGTATCTTCTGCTTCTATCAACTTTTCTGTACTTGACTGAAGAAGCCTACTGTGTAGGCGAAACGTTTCAAAATAAAGATACCTTTAAATGTTGCATATGTGTCTTACCTAACAATCTGTCGGTATTTTTTTACCATTTTAATGTTCATTCTGTCAGACACTGCAACACAAGGGTATCTTGGTACAGCCATCTACTTCGACAACCTTACTAGTGAGAACGGCTGGGTTGAGAAGGACCTGCCCTCCCAAATCAACCTACGTCTCACCTCCTGGGACTATATAAGGCCCGATTCTGTCACTTCAACTTCATATTGTTTCAGACAACGGAACAATGCTCTTCTCCAGACTGAGGGGGCTGACCACCCTCAAAACTTTAAGGGTGATGGACTGATTACATCGTCTTCAAGTATCTTCTGCTTCTATCAACTTTTCTGTACTTGACTGAAGAAGCCTACTGTGTAGGCGAAACGTTTCAAAATAAAGATACCTAACTGTTGCATATGTGTCTTACCTAACAATCTGTCGGTATTTTATACCATTTTAATGTTCATTCTGTCAGACACTGCAACACAAGGGTATCTTGGTACAGACCATCTACTTCGACAACCTCTACTAGTGAGAACGGCTGGGGTTGAGAAGGACCTGCCCTCCCAAATCAACCTACGTCTCACCTCCTGGGACTATATAAGGCCCGATTCTGTCACTTCAACTTCATATTGTTTCAGACAACGGAACAATGCTCTTCTCCAGACTGAGGGACTGACCACCTCAAAACTTTAAGGGTGATGGACTGATTACATCGTCTTCAAGTATCTTCTGCTTCTATCAACTTTTCTGTACTTGACTGAAGAAGCCTACTGTGTAGGCGAAACGTTTCAAAATAAAGATACCTAACTGTTGCATATGTGTCTTACCTAACAATCTGTCGGTATTTTATACCATTTTAATGTTCATTCTGTCAGACACTGCAACACAAGGGTATCTTGGTACAGACCATCACTTCGACAACCTCTACTAGTGAGAACGGCTGGGGTTGAGAAGGACCTGCCCTCCCAAATCAACCTACGTCTCACCTCCTGGGACTATATAAGGCCCGATTCTGTCACTTCAACTTCATATTGTTTCAGACAACGGAACAATGCTCTTCTCCAGACTGAGGGACTGACCACCTCAAAACTTTAAGGGTGATGGACTGATTACATCGTCTTCAAGTATCTTCTGCTTCTATCAACTTTTCTGTACTTGACTGAAGAAGCCTACTGTGTAGGCGAAACGTTTCAAAATAAAGATACCTAACTGTTGCATATGTGTCTTACCTAACAATCTGTCGGTATTTTATACCATTTTAATGTTCACTGACTTTAGGTTTCTGTCCAGCGCCTTCTTGAAGACAGCCAAGGGTCTTGAAGACAGTCAGGGGTCTTGAAGGCAGCCAAGGGTCTTGAAGACAACCATGGGTCTTGAAGACAGCCAAGGGTCTTGAAGACAGTCAGGGGTCTTGAAGGCAGCCAAGGGTCTTGAAGACAACCATGGGTCTTGAAGACAGCCAAGGGTCTTGAAGGCAGCCAGGCGTCTTGAAGACAGTCAAGGGTCTTGAAGGCAGCCAGGGATCTCGAAGACAGCCAGAGGTGTTGAAGACAGCCAAGGGTCTTGAAGATAGCCAAGGGTCTTGAAGGCATCCAAGGGTCTTGAAGACAGTCAAGGGTCTTGAAGGCAGCCAGGGATCTCGAAGACAGCCAGAGGTGTTGAAGACAGCCATGGGTCTTAAAGACAGCCAAGGGTCTTGAAGGCAGCCAGGGGTCTTGAAGACAGTCAAGGGTCTTGAAGGCAGCCAGGGATCTCGAAGACAGCCAGAGGTGTTGAAGACAGCCAAGGGTCTTGAAGACAGCCAAGGGTCTTGAAGACTGCTAGGGGTCTTGAAGACAGCCAGGGATCCTGAAGACAGCCAGGGGTCTTGAAAACTGCTAGGGGTCTTGACAGCCAGGGATCCTGAAGACAGCCAAGGGTCTTGAAGACAGCCAGGGGTCTTGAAGACAGCCAGGGGCCTTGAAGACATTCAGGGGTCTTGAAGACAGCCAGGGGTCTTGAAGACAGCCAGGGATCCTGAAGACAGCCAGGGGTCTTGAAAACTGCTAGGGGTCTTGACAGCCAGGGGTCCTGAAGACAGCCAAGGGTCTTGAAGACAGCCAGGGGTCTTGAAGACAGCCAGGGGTCTTGAAGACATTCAGGGGTCTTGAAGACAGCCAGGGGTCTTGAAGACATTCAGGGGTCTTGAAGACAGCCAGGGATCTTGAAGACATTCAGGGGTCTTGAAGACAGCCAGGGGTCTTGAAGACATTCAGGGGTCTTGAAGACAGCCAGGGATCTTGAAGACATTCAGGGGTCTTGAAGACAGCCAAGGGTCTTGAAAACAACTGCTAAGTCACCCCAGAGTGTTAGCCACCCAGGATAACCCAGGGCAGAGAGTGTTAGCCACCCAGGATAACCCAGGGCAGAGAGTGTTAGCCACCCAGGATAACCCAGGGCAGAGAGTGTTAGCCACCCAGGATAACCCAGGGCAGAGAGTGTTAGCCACCCAGGATAACCCAGGGCAGAGAGTGTTAGCCACCCAGGATAACCCAGGGCAGAGAGTGTTAGCCACCCAGGATAACCCAGGGCAGAGAGTGTTAGCCACCCAGGATAACCAAGAAAGTCTGCGTCATCGAGGGACTGTCTTATTTCCACTGTGTCCTTCAATCCTGTCCCCAGGATGCCACCCATATCAGTCTTCTAACACCAAGGTACCTACTTGCTAGGTAAACAGGAACAACAGATGTAGGGAAACACGCCCATTGTTTCCACCCGTGCCGGGGATCGAACCACTGACACTCAGTGTATGAAACGAGAGCGCTGCCTACCAAGCCACATAGTCATCGGTATGATAATTTGTGTAACTATTTATGTATACCTCACTCACTCCCTCACTCACTCTCTCACTCACTCTCTCACTCGTCAACAGAGGGAAGCTACGAGCAGTTTCAACAGTAGTGGCCACTCTCAGCTTGCTGGCCGGGTTCATAGCTCTTGGCGGAGTACTGTTTATGTGGCTGGATGGCTGGACCTTCATGGAGGCCACTTATTTTTGCTTCATCACCACCACCACCATCGGTTTTGGCGACCTTGTGCCTGGTAAGTTCCCTCAGCGCCTCCGCCACCCGGTCACAGGACTAGCCTCCGGTAGCTGGGTTGATAGTGCACTCAGCTCACGCGTTGAGTGTCCGTGGGTCGACCCCTGGTACGGGTGGAAACACTGGGGCGTGTTTCCTTAAAACACCTGATGTCCCTGTTCACCTGGCGGTAAGTAGGTACCTGGGTGTTAGCCAACTGTTGTGGGTGGCATCCTGGGGGACAAGATTGAAGACCACAAGGAAAATAAGAGAGACAGACCTTGACGACTCACTGACTTTCTTGGGTTATCCTGGACGGCTTTAAAAGATCCCAAACAAATCTTATCTTATTCTATCCCCCCTGCAGCCACCTCCTCACTGCTCTGCTGCACGCTCTACATCATCGTGGGTCTGGCTCTAACCTCCACGGTGATAGAGCTGGTACGAAGACAGTACGCCTCTTCCTGGGAACAAATGAAGCATCTTTCAGCCAGGCTACACACACTGTCCGGCCCTCTAGCCTTGGCCATGAGGAAACTAGCCGAGTCTGGCACCGGACAGGTGAGTCCTCCTTACAATACAATACAATTTGTACTTGTTCATACACACTACCTTCCTTGACCTTAAATCCGCTTTTGATGTAGCCAACCGACATGTAATCATTAGTGAACTTGCCAGAATGGATGTTGGAGGATGGCTTCTCCGCTGGACTAAAGGTTACCTGTCCAACAGAAAGTCGTCTGTGTTGTTCCAGGGACATAGAAGTGTAACTAAAGACTTTGAATTAGGAACCCCACAGGGAGGTGTGCTCAGTCCCACACTATTCAATATTCTAATTAATGCCTTACTTAATGCTATACCTAGTCAGCCCCATAATTATATGATTAGTTTTGCTGATAATATATTGATTCACACCACCGGATTCTCCAACATCCAGAACATTCTTAATCATGTACTAGCCTCGTGTCAGGACCTGGGATTGATAATCTCTACTGATAAAACAAAGATACTCAATAGACGTCCTCCTCGACAGAGAGGCACAGTTCGTCAGATCCAATTGCATGATGGGTCTCTTCTAGAATATGTAAGCAGATACAGGTATCTAGGCTCTGAGGTCCCACTACTTGGACCTGTTGTAACAAGACTTTGTCGCCAATACAAAGAAAGGCTGAGAGCACTTAGAGTTGTGGCAGGTTTTCATCCCAGGTATGGTGCTAATGTTAAAATTGTGAAAATGATGTATCTTGCTTATATTAGATCATTGGTTGATATGCTGCGCCACTACTTGCACTCGTGACTGACTGGAAGCTTGGAGGGCTGGAAAAACTGCAGAACGAAGCAATGAGGATCATTTTAGGACGCCCTCGTACTGCCAAAGTTTTAAATATTCAGAAAGAACTTGATATTCCAAGCATCAGAGATCGTGTTACTGAAAGAAATATCCTAATTGTGGTTAATTAATAGGCTCAGGCAAACCCATCCAAACCCCTGCACAGAAGCCCTCCAGACTTTCCTCAGCACTGGTGAACACTCGCTCCAGATAGATCGAAAAAACTGGAACCGACCTCCGCATGAATCAGATACATGATCTATGTCAAGTAAGGCAACAGCGGCACTTCTGGTGGCCCGGTGGTCTGGTGGCTAAAGCTCCCGCTTCACACACGGAGGGCCCGGGTTCGATTCCCGGCGGGTGGAAATTCCGACACGTTTCCTTACACCTATTGTCCTGTTCACCTAGCAGCAAATAGGTACCTGGGTGTTAGTCGACTGGTGTGGGTCGCATCCTGGGGGACAAGATTAAGGACCCCAATGGAAATAAGTTAGACAGTCCTCGATGACGAACTGACTTTCTTGGGTTATCCTGGGTGGCTAACCCTCCGGGGTTAAAAATCCGAACGAAATCTTATCTTATCTTATCTTCTCCGCTCCATGGGATATTACCCATTCCAATCTACCATTCCTCCATTTCCCCCCAAACTACTTCTTAAATCACAACCAAAACTTCGCCTTGAAGCCAAACATGATGCCTTAAGCTGTATTGATAACTTAGTCACACAGCACACACTCTCGCAAATTATTTACGTTGATGGTTCTGTTCACCAATCCACTGGTGCAGCTGGTAGTGCTGCTGTTGTCGTACAGAGTGATGGCTCCTTTGCCATACTCCTTGCACTGAAATGCATCTATGTATCAAAGATTGACAGTTTAATTGTAACTGATTCTCTGTCATCCATAAATGCTCTCAACTCATTAAGTATAAATTGTGGCATGCTTGTGTCAGAAGCCAGACACAGGTATGGTAGGATTGTGGACAGTGGAGTCAGAGTGCACATGCTGTGGATTCCATCTCACATTGGTCTTCAGATGCATGATAGAACTGATAAATTGGCTAAGCTGTATGCTTTCAAAGAGGGAGTAGATTACAATCTTGGCTTGTCAGTTAGCAGTTTGAGAACAATTATACGACAAGAACTTCAATTGAACTTTATTGACTTAAGACTCAGGGAGATTGACACAAGTCAGTCCATCTATCATCATTCCATCATGCAGGAGGAGCCACATGTCTATGGTGCATCCAACAAAATAAGCCGACTCTTGGATGTCACTACCGCCCGGCTCCGGCTGGGTTACAAGTATCTTTGGCAGGTTAAATCACCACCACCAGATGTAGACCAAACGAAATGTAAACTTTGCCAGATGGATCTTGTGTCATTATGTACTGAAGTGCCATATAATTAATGAATTTAGAAACAACTCACTCAGAAGTGTTCAAGAAATGGCAAAGTATTTTATCCACAGTGGTATATTACAGACCATTCTGGAGAAATACCCTGACTTTGCTAGCTGTAAATTATGCATTATCATGTGTGTGTGTGTGTGTGTGTGTGTGTGTGTGTGTGTGTGTGTGTGTGTGTGTGTGTGTGTGTGTGTGTGTGTGTGTGTTTGTGTGACTCAACAATCAACATTTGCACCAATAACTCACTACAGTTGTGACCGGGTGTGGAACTGTGAATTGCTCATTACTCTATAATTTGTTCATGATTGTAGCCATGTATAAGCGTAAGTAACCATTCTTACAGGATTCATTACCTTTGTAACTTGTAAGTTCATTACCTTTGTAAATTGTGAGTTCATTACCTCAGCTATGATAGCTCAGCTATCAAAACTTTGGAGTCCAGTTCCTGGACCCAGTACGTACCTCCGTAATGTTTGACTACCGCCCACAGGATGGGTATGAGGTGCATAATAAACATATTAAACTAACTTCATACAGTATAGATAACGTAATTTACATGAAATATTAATAATGATAATCTTTATTTATCAAGTACATGATACAACATGTACAGACTAGCTGACACCTGTGACATAGAAAGTTCCTGGTTATGCAGAGCATTTCCTGCAACTTAGGTTAATTTTGTCCCCAGGATGCCACCCACGCAGGTAGACTAATATCTAGGTACCTACTTACTGTTAGGTAAACAGGGACAGCAGGTGTAAGGTGACTAACACCCAGGTACCTACTTACTGATAGGTGAACATGGACAGCAGGTCTCTTAAGGAAACACGCCCTAATATTTTTCACCCGTATCCGGGATCGAACCATAGAGCTCAGCGTGTGAGCCGAGTGCGCTACCAACCCAGAACAGAGTAAAGCCACTAGTATGCAATGCGCTTCAGCCAAAATAATCCTAATGCTTAAAGGTGTCCCGTAGCTGGGTTGGTAGCACCTAAAGTCGGTACCTGACCAGCCGGGCTGTGGCTCGTACGTTGGATTGCGTGCAGCCAGCAGCAACAGCCTGGTTGATCAGGCTCTGATCCACCAGGAGGCCTGGTCACAGACCGGGCCGCGGGGGCGTTGACCCCCGGAACTCTCTCCAGGTAAACTCCAGGTAGCGCACTCAGCTCACACATTGAGGTACGTGGTTCGATCCCCGGTAAGGGTAAAAACATTAAGGCGTGTTTCCCTAAGACACCTGCTTCCCTGTTCACCTAGCAGTAAGTAGGTACCTGGGTGTTAGTGGATTGGTGTGGGTGGCATCCTGGGGAACGAAATTAACCCAAGTTCCGGGAAATGCTCTACATAACCAGGGACTTTCTATACGTCATAGGTGTCAGCTATGGTCTGTATAAGTTGTATCATGTACTTGTGGAAGTAAATATTATTATTATTATTATTATTATTATTATTATTATTATTATTATTATTATTATTATTACTGAGACTATTAAGTAAATTGGGTACTAGCATAGGGAATAGTAAGTTAGGTTGGGTTCTGGGGTGGGTAAATGTAACTCTAGGTGGGTTCTGGGGTGGGTAAATGTAACTCTAGGTGGGTTCTGGGGTGGGTAAATGTAACTCTAGGTGGGTTCTGGGGTGGGTAAATGTAACTCTAGGTGGATTCTCGGGTGGGTAAATGTAACTCTAGGTGGGTTCTGGGGTGGGTAAATGTAACTCTAGGTGGGTTTGGGGTGGGTAAATGTAACTAGGTGGGTTCTGGGGTGGATAAATGTAACTCTAGGTGGGTTCTGGGGTGGGTAAATGTAACTCTAGGTGGGTTCTGGGGTGGGTAAATGTAACTCTAGGCGGGTTCTAGGGTGGGTAAATGTAACTCTAGGTGGGTTCTGGGGTGGGTAAATGTAACTAGGTGGGTTCTGGGGTGGGTAAATGTAACTAGGTGGGTTCTGGGGTGGGTAAATGTAACTCTAGGTGGGTTCTGGGGTGGGTAAATGTAACTCTAGGTGGGTTCTGGGGTGGGTAAATGTAACTCTAGGTGAGTTCTGGGGTGGGTAAATGTAACTCTAGGTGGGTTCTGGGGTGGGTAAATGTAACTCTAGGTGGGTTCTGAAGTGGGTAAATGTAACTCTAGGTGGGTTCTGGGGTGGGTAAATGTAACTCTAGGTGGGTTCTGGGGTGGGTAAATGTAACTCTAGGTGGGTTCTAGGGTGGGTAAATGTAACTCTAGGTGGGTTCTGGGGTGGGTAAATGTAACTCTAGGTGGTTTCTGGGGTGGGTAAATGTAACTCTAGGTGGGTTCTGGGGTGGGTAAATGTAACTCTAGGTGGGTTCTGGGGTGGGTAAATGTAATTCTACGTGGGTAAATGTAACTCTAGGTGGGTTCTGGGGTGGGTAAATGTAACTCTAGGTGGGTTCTGGGGTGGGTAAATGTAACTCTAGGTGGGTTCTGGGGTGGGTAAATGTAACTCTAGGTGGGTTCTGGGGTGGATAAATGTAACTCTTGGTGGGTTCTGGGGTGGTAAATGTAACTCTAGGTGGGTTCTGGGGTGGGTAAATGTAACTCTAGGTGTGTTCTGGGGTGGGTAAATGTAACTCTAGGTGGGTTCTGGGGTGGGTAAATGTAACTCTAGGTGGGTTCTGGGGTGGGTAAATGTAACTCTAGGTGGGTTCTGGGGTGGGTAAATGTAACTCTAGGTGGGTTCTGGGGTGGGTAAATGTAACTCTAGGTGGCTTCTGGGGGTGGGTAACTGTAACTCTAGGTGGGTTCTGGGGTGGGTAAATGTAACTCTAGGTGGGTTCTGGGGTGGGTAAATGTAACTCT